CGGCGGGCACGGCAGGAGGCCCGCTGAGAAGGTGGCCGTGGGGCCCGGTGTGGTCATGGCATGCTGCTGAGTCTCGGACAAGGCTCTGGTATATTCAGCGATTGTGGCAGGCATGGGTACAGGGAGGGGGCACGAGACCCTCTTGTTTGTTTCTAGGTAATCCCCTTGGAAGAGACTGGCTCGGCCAGTGGAGTGTTCAGCTGGGACTGGATGCTGAGAAGAGTTCGTGACTGCACAGTTTCTTTGTCCCCTGGGATGCAGGGAACCTGGCAGGCCTGGGACACGGTCATCTGACGCATTCCATACAGGAGACCTCCTCCCAGGGAGTGCTTTTTGGAAACCCACAGGCCCACCACCCTTAGACCCCCCACCCGGAGCTGGGTGCTGTAATTCCAATGAGGAAACCAACACACGTGTAGTCGCAGCAGCGCTGGCGTGGTCTCGACAGGCCCCTAGTGCTGCAGTTTGCGTTCGCATCACGACCCGCCCACCCGAGTCGTATTTTGCAAGTCTCGTGTGTGTCCGGGGCCGTGAAGGGCTCGTGGGCTCTTCCTTGCCCCCCATAACCTCTCATCTGGCCTCTTCCTCTCATCCTGCAGGGGAGCACTGCGAGGTGAGCGCCCGCTCAGGCCGCTGCGCCAACGGCGTGTGCAAAAACGGGGGCACCTGCGTGAACCTGCTCATCGGCGGCTTTCACTGCGTGTGTCCCCCCGGCGAGTACGAGAGGCCCTACTGCGAGGTCACCACTCGGAGCTTCCCGCCCCAGTCCTTCGTCACCTTCCGCGGCCTGCGACAGCGCTTCCACTTCACCCTGTCCCTCACGTGAGTGTGCGCCCCGTGCAGCCACACTGGCATCCTCCTCTTCTCGTCGCATCTCCCTGGATCAGGACATGCGTGTGTCTGCAGGTGGCCTTTGGTAGTTGAGGAGCTGGGCAGTGCTGGCCATGGGACCAGCTGCACACGCAGTGGGGCCACAGGCAAATTGAAAAGGGGGTGGGCCCTTATTTAAAAATTATGAATAATTTCAGGACAGCCACAGCAGAGCACTGAAGGGAGCACAGGCCCTTCTGAGAGTGGGGTCCTGTGGGTCACACCCCAGGGAGCCAGCCCTGGCCGTGCCGGGCCTGCTCTCTTGCCAACACGTCATCTCTGATGTCATCTCTAACATGCAGGTGGCCAGGCCTCCTGCGAGTGTGTGACCCAGGGCTGCTCAACCTGTTTCTTAATCTGTAGCATGAGGGTGCAGGTTTGCTGTGCACTGCAGTTAGTATTTTATTTTTGCATATTTCTTTCCGAGAGAATTTAAATGTAATTAATTTTTTTAAATGTATCATTTCCATCTTAAAGATTCCTATCAGGTTTGACTTAGTGAAATAGGAGGCATTTTGCATTTGGTGGTTTTGTGCTGGGGTTTAGGGGTCTTTCAGGGGATGGCATTCTCCAGGCACGATTGCCGGGTACTGTGCTCTCCTCTGAGCTGCCCTTTGAAGGACAGGGCATCTCAGGACAGGACAGGGCGGGCTTCTCTCCTGGAGTCCTGCCCCTCCAGGTTCTTCCAGGTAAGTGGCCAGGATGCATCCCTCACACCCAGCAGA